GAGCAGTGAGAGAATGGGAGCGGGGAGAGCTGGGGATCCCCTCGGAGCAGCTGCTGTTTACCTTCTAGGCATCTGCAGGGAGAACCTGGCCCGAGTCATGTCTGAACATCGCAGTTTCTGAAATCCTCCCTTTGTTCTTGAGAAATGCTGCCTCTGATTGTCTGACCTTATGCTTTGTTCGTCCTGCTGTTATAATCCTCTCCCATTTCGTAAGAGCTCATTCTTAAATCCTTGGAGGTAAATTTTATGGGCAGCTTGGCTTTGTTTTTTTGGTTACCGTGTTCGGGATGGCCTTTTAAAATTTCTTAACACGAGTGGAGTCTGAAATAAGAGTTAAAACATTTTAAAAGCTTTTTGTGTAGCCAATGGAATGTCCTGTGCATTCCAGTTGCCTTGGGCTGGTTTTTAACACGTACAGTTATAACCAAGGTGGAAATCATTTTTTTTAAAGAAGCAAAACTACATGAAAGTATCAAAACTGTACAACCTCATTTACTGGTACAATAATAGTGAGCATTTACATAGTGCTTTGTGTCTGATTAAATTCCTTCTTTGTCTCAGATTGTGTTTTAATCACTTAAAATATTAAACCGTTTAATACTTAGAACAATTCTGTGTGGGAGCTGTATTATCCTTGTTTTATAGATCAGGTGATGGAGGTGCAGAGACATTAAGTACCTTGCCCAAGGTCACGTGATGAAATAGGGACGCTTTGAATCCAAGCCTTCCAGGATCCCTTGCTCTTAACTACGGCAGTGCATTACTCTTCACTAATTTAAAATTTGCAGCCATTGAATGGGAGTCGAGATTTGGTCACTTTTACACTGTCTCTGAAATATGGGTTTACCAAATACTAAAAATGAATACTATGAACAAAACTGTAAGTTTAGCTTTTTGCTAAGAAAAACTATTTATAAAACAGCATTCATTTAAGACAAAGAGCTGATTTTCTTATTGCAAATTATTTCTATATGTTCATTGAAAAAAGACCTGAAGGACTTTTTTTGGCAATAATTTTTTACTTAATTTGCTACTGAAGTGGTTACATATGGAAGTAATAAAATAATATATCTTGAAAAGTCTGAAAAGATAATTAAAAAAAATGAAACTGTTGTAGCTTTTTCTTTGGGCTGAAACACAGTAGAGCGATTAACCACTTTAATACATGTAACCACCTTAATATATGTAGCTGATGTTTATTTGAAGCTACTTTTTAAGACTTACTTTCTTTCCACAATAAATCTTATTCTGCTGGTTTGAACCCCCCGCCCCCTCCTTTTTTGCAGTGTCTAGTGTTGAAGTTAATAAAAGAGTGGAGGTCTTGTGAGTCTATGTCATCTTTTGGTTTGTGCATCTGTGTTCACTTCTAGATCCTATTATCTTTTGATACTTTTTGGCACCTGGACACTATGGATGCTCCAGAGAGTTATACTGCAAGGGCTTTGGGGCTAGTTTTATAAACAGTTGCAGTGAGTGACCCAGAAAATCTCCATGGCAGGTTATGGATGACAGATCCAGAGAGGAGGCAGATTTTCCCTTCCCACTGCTTTCTAAAGACTTTGTACAGTCGTGTCCTCCCCAGCAAGACTTACTGTCATTACTGACAGGATGAGGGCATGGTCTAGGCAGTCCAAAGGATAGGGTAAATTCTGTGGGGCACTGTTGATCTTGGGGATGGTGTCCCAACCTAACACTAGAAGCCACTGGCTCACACAGTGGGGCAGGTATTTCCTTTTCCATTTTCTTTTGATCTTCTGATTCAAGGAGGAAGTTGGTTGGCACCCTTGTATCTTTAACATCTCTCACATCCTTCAGAATCCGTCTTTATGACAGAGGGCAGGCTCTGTGGACTCTCAGCTTTGATAGACAACTTTATTTAGTCAGAATGTAGTTTCATTGTTTATTTTCCTTGTTTTAGGATGTATAATTCCCTCCTACTTTTGACAGGGACTACTGGCTTTCTGTTTACAGTGAGGAGAAGGTATTTCTATGAAAACTAGTTTCATTTAAAGGAAAATGGTGAGTCAATCAAAAAACAAGTACTAGAGAAAGTAATAATACAGGTGATACGTAGCTGTGGCAAAAATGTGAGCTTGCTAGAGGAATGACAAAATCGTGGGAAATACTGGTCTAATATCTGCTATGGTTAATTTTGCAGAAATCTGCAGTCTCTTTTTTGAAATTCTTGGGACCAGATTTGTTCTGGAATTCAGGATTTTCAGGTCTTATTGACATAGTGCTTATTATCTATGATGTGACCCACGTAGGAAACACTGGGGCAGTGCTGGCATCAAGCACAATAATATTTCTGCAGCAAAACATATGAACACTCACACCAAGTGGTGTAGAAACTCTGTATGGCCTCATGTGGGTTCAGGTCAGTCCACCAAATAGGTTTTTGAACCAAACTTAAGAAAAAAGGTTTGATTTTCAGAGATTTCTAGATTTCACAGTTGCACATAAGAGATGACAGATCTGTCTCTGTCAACAAATTGCATTATTTTCTAGAACACCGATCAGATTAATCAGGCAGAAAACAAACTAGACCCCAGCTTGGTCCAAGGAACTCTGCCATGTTTCAGTTTATTTTCCTGCTTGAATGTGGTCTCCTTATAGATTCTGACCTGCTGTCTTGGGCCAGGTAGACTTGTTTGCCGAAGAAAAGTTGAATCCAAGTGACTTTGATCTGTGAATGTGAAAACAGGAGTAGTTTCTGGTTCTGCTCATCCGTGAGATGCGAGGGTCAGAGTTTGGAACACAGAGCTCACTCTCTTGGAATTTAAGAATGCAGATGTTGGGTGACTGGGCAATGCATTCTCTGGCACCAGACAACATGGGGAAATACTTCATTTGGTTTTATGTTTTTAAAATGAAATTCATCAATTGTTTGCAGTTGTTTTGTTGAATGTCTTGTTAGTTCTTAAGATAGTCTGTTATCAATGAAGTCTTAATTTAGCCATGATCAAAATGGTTAAAGAGGGCCAAGACCAGCCTTCCAAGTGTGATGGCAGGAAAGCCAGGTTTTATAGTCTATGGACTTATGACATTGTAGAGCAATGGAGTCTGAGTATCACGATATAATGTGTCCCAGCTATTGAGTGAAATGAATTTTAGTTTAGTGTTAGAAGTTGAAGGTGGATTAATTGCAGTTCAGAGGGCCATGTTGAGTTACTTATGATTGTTTTTCAAACATTCTGTAAGATGATAAATGAGCAAGTATTTTCTTCAGACCACATTGAAAGTGTTTTGTCAGATTCTTGATTTATAACCTTGAGAACATGCATTTATTTTTTGCAGTTAGAATGGAAATGTATAGTAATTGATCATAAAAACTACACTTATGAAGTATTTATGGGCTTTGTATGGTATATTGCTAGTTATTTAAATTAAGTGATAAAACAAGATACTATAGATATAAAAATGGTTTCCTTTATATTGTGTATTTCCTCAGGAAGCTTAATAAAATGTCACTTCAGTGTTCTGTGGGGAAGAGGCATATTCTGATGTAGAATCTCAAGCCAGAGCCATTTGGCTCATACAATTCATGCATATTTGTATGTAAATTTTATAATGTCATCCAGGACTTTCCATGGAAGAATAGTGTTTTACTCCTTGTACCTTAGCACAACTTTTATGAATTGACTCACTCCCATGGGCTAACCTGGATTTTATGCTGTGACAGAACTAAGACAGGTGGTAGGATTAGTGCCATTTCTGGTAGAACAGAGGCAGCACTGTCCCTTTTGTACCTACTCAAGAAAGCTTACTGGAATGTTGGTGAGGATGACATTTGCTGTGCATGTAATTTTGAATCTACCCTATTAACGTCATTTATAGACATTTAGAATCTATTATTAGTGTAACCCACCCTGATTAGTATTAATAATCTGGAACCTCACATTGAACCTGGTAAAAATCACTTTTACTATATAACAAAATATAAAATATACTAGTGGCAATATTTATTGAGCAATTGCCAGGCATGTGTTAAGTGCTTTGCATGTTTCAACTCGTTTAATCCTTATAACTGCACTTTGAAGAAAGCATAATAATTAAATGCTTTTACAGATGAGGAAACTCTGTAAAGCTATTTGGAGATCCAGTACTTTAGCCCAAGTCACAAGAAATGAGGCATCTTGGCTCGACTCTGTTTATTACCTTCAACTTCGTGTTCCCTACAAATACAATAACATAACTCTCTGGGACTCAACTTTCAGCAGCTTTGTCTTTTTTGGAGCAAAGCTGAGAACGTGGGAAGCAAGCAAAATCATTTCTGTAATTAAAATAGAAGCAAAACTCTGTCTGTATGAGGTGATGCATATTCAGCAGGCGATCAGAGCCAGAACCGCTGGGCTGTGTCCTGTCTTGGGTCCTTTAGTAGAGGGTCTGGAGCCCGAACACGTCTGTGGAATCTGAGCGTCGCAGTATAATCACTAATGCATCCAAGTTATTGTGCAAATGAATTTTAGTTTAGTATTAGAAGTTGAAGGATAAAAGCCTGGTTGATTTTTATGAAAATCTGTCATGATTGGAAATACAGTGCTTGAAATAGGCACACTTTTTAAAATCTAGAACTGTTCACTTTTTAAATTGAAATATAGTCAGTTGCAATGTGTCGATTTCTGGTGTACATCACAATGTGTCAGTCATGCATATATATACGTATATTCATTTTCATATTCTTTTGATTAAAGGTTGTTACAAGATATTGAGTATAGTTCCCTGTGCTAAACAGAAGAAATCTGTTTTTATCTATTTTTATGTATAATGGTTAACATTTGCAAATCTCATTCTTTATGACAGTTTTAGATAACTGAGACAGTTTGGATGTAGAAGAGAAAATACTTGCATTGTAGATCTTAATATAGGAAGACAGCAAAAATGCCATCTTAAAATGCAATCTTTTTCTTTTTTCCCCTGTGATTTGGTTAAGAAGGTAAAGCTTGACTGTAAAATAAATTCCTTCTACTTTATTTGTCCTGTTTTCATTTTTGTTCTAGATTGTTCCTGTGATGTCCTCAAAAGATCCAGGCATCCCCCAGCGTTCCTTGCTGCCGGCCGGCTTTCTGACATGCTTAATGGTGGAGATGAAGTCTATGCTAACTGCATGGTGATAGATCAGGTAAGGTATGACTGATGTTACTAGGCAGATCTGTCTTTTTAAAACCTGAGCATGTGAGAAATATATTCAGCATTGTTGTATTCCTCTGAAAATTTTAGCTTAAGAGCAGCCCAGGCTTTGTTGCTGTGGAGTCTCATCATAAAAGCATTTACCGTAGGTCCTTCCTTCAGAACACAGCACACCTTACCCCCTACCAAGAAGCTCATCCTTGGGGCCAAAATAGGTGATGACATTTGGGAGGTCAGTTTCTTCTCTACAGTTTTTCCAAGAAGTGTGTGTATATGACCTAATTAAGCAATAGTTGTATTCAATTCCAGCAAACACTAATGCACAAGAGCTTGATCTCAGCCCCATATGATACTGTTGGATAAATTAATCCTTGCTTAATCCTCACAACACACCTATTAATGTGTACTTAGGTCATAGAGCGTTAATATTAAAACAGAATAGTGTCATGTTGCAGGGAAGCTGGAACCCTTCAGTTATTCACCCTTCCTGATAGAGATTTGTGAGTTAAATCTCATAAGGAGATGGTTTGAATGTGCATCTCATAGAGATTTATTCTTTGTTCTTTTCTCTAGTTTGGTGATCCTCAAATTTTAATATTTATAAAAGTTAAAAGATAGTTACAGATGTGAAAATTTCTACATGCCCTAATTTATGGGAGATTTAAAGGATTTTCAAGAGTAATTTAGACAACACACAGTTTCTGCCTTATCCCCTCGGTTTAAAACCTGATCCCCACATGAGATGCACTGTATATGTGCTCACACAGCAATAATCTGTTTTGCTTTTTACATTGTTGTTGTTAGTGTGCATACGTTGTACCCTACTAGTTATAGATGTTTTCTCTGATACGAATTTTTTTTCTTGTCTAGTAGATCTCAATTTCAGCCCATTGGTCTAATGTCTGCTTTTTTCTTTGGCTTATGAAGCATTGTTACTTTAATGTTTTACGTTTAATGAAACATAGTATAAATGGCATAGATTGGAATGATAATCAAAATGACAGAAGAATCAATAAATCAGAATGGACATCAGCTGTAAATAACTATTAAAGTTTTTGTGTGTGTGTGTGTATGTAAAGAAGCAGAATGTCAGCCATAGTTATAGAAATCTAGGATGAGGCACAGAATTTAGGACAAAGTGGGCATTCTGGGGACAATTCTTTGAAAATACAAGGTAGTTGGACTTACTATGCTCTAGCTACATTTTGATTTTAATGGTTTTATTCTGTTCGCATATTTTCTCAACATTTAAATGAAATACGTTAGTGTCCTTTTTTTTTCCTCTGAGCCTTTAGTGAATACTACAGTATTTCTCTTTACCTCAAGTAGCTAGAATTGTACGTGCCTCAGACATTATGTGGGGGCAAACTGTATCTTTATGGGCTCTAAGATACATTAGAAATGTAAAACTTCCCAAACCAAAGATGAGGTTTGGATGTAATTTCTGTTTGGAAGTATTTTGAGTGAGAGAAGTATTGCTTTAATAATGTGAAGCATACATTTAAAGAGAGCTCAAACAACCTGATTGATACACTGAAGTGAAGCGGAGGATTGCTGAATTTGTGCACTGAAAACAAAACTAAAAATCTGAATGCAAATCACACAGTTCACTATATCAGGGTAGTGTAGTTACGTCATTTCTTTTATTGTTCCCATGTCCATTTGACTAGCAAGGACAACAATAGGAGTCCAAATTCTGCATATTTAAAATAATTGCTAGCAATATCTGGGAAGAATCTTATCTAATTTTCTTCATCTCCTTCAACCTGGCACAGGAGCCTAAAAAGATTGCTACCTTGTTTACGGTGCTGTTTCCTATGAATTTCAAGGTTGTCAACCAACCTGATGAGGAAACTTACGCGATAAAAACTACTTTGAAAATTACTCTGTCCTACAAACTGCTTTGGAACAGTTTTTACTTGGTCATCATTTCAAGCCTACATAATTTGGTACAAAGAATCTCTGTATACTCTTTATAAAAAATCTGCAAATTTTAACATTTTACTTTATTATTCTGAGTATGTGTTTGTGTGTGTGCATGCAGGTACTTAAGGTATGTGTATATATATATATATATATATTAACCATTTGAGAGTAAACTGAGAATGTGATGCCCCTTTACCCCTCAGTCTTTAATGGTGTATTTTCCTAAAGGCATGAGTATTCTACATGGGCACATATAGTTATCAAAATCAGGAAGTCATCATTGACACAGTACTGTTAGCTGTCTACAGACCTTATTCAATTTTAGCCAATTGTCTCAATAATGTACTTTGTTGCAAAAGAAAATTCAATAACCTGTCTTGTATTTAGTTGTTGTGTCTCTTTAGTCCCTTTTAATCTGGGACAGTTCCTTAGTCTTGTCTTTTATGACATTGGTAATTTTGAAGAATACAGCCCAAGTTATTGTTTCTTTGTTTATATTTTGCTATAATGCCCTTTAATTTTGGTTTGTCTTATATTTCCTCATGATTAGATTCAGGTTACTTCAGGTTGGCAGGAATATTACAGAAGTGATGTTGTGTTCCTCTCAGTGCATTGTATCAGGAGGCACGTGACAATAATTTGTCCCATTACTGGTACTATCTTTGATCTACCAAGTTTCTTTTCAGTAAAATTACTATTTTTTTCTTTTTAAATTATTGAGTGTCTTGTGGGGAGACAGTTTGGGTCTCTGTACAAATCCTATTCCTCATTTGACTCTCATCCTTATCATTCCTTGGTTGTTTTTGCCTTAGTCAATTATTATTATGATGATGAGTGATTTAGGACCCTATATTTCCCCCTTTGCTTCTCTTCCCCTTCACTGTCTTATTTATAAATGGGTTTTTTTGTGTGTGTGTGTTTACTATCTTCTCCCCTAGATGTGATGCTTTTGATGACTACCACCTCAGATCACCAGTACTTTTAAGCCCCTTCCTTAGAGCAAGTGCTTTAATCAGCGGGGACTTTTTCCCCGACACTATCCAGTGTAGGCTGGACTTTTTCTTTTGGATGGTGATTTTAGATCAGTCTCAGACCTTCCACTAGCTCCTTTTTCTCTACTGTGCAGATTTTTATAGACTTCCCTTACTCTCTGCAAAGGCTTATGGCAAGAGCATGACAGGTTGCTTGCTGAGATTTGGTTTTTATTCCTTACAGGTAATTTAAAGTTTGGGGTATTTTCTGTCTTCTTGTTATGCTGAATCCTTACATCTTACATAGTTTTGTTTGGGAGACTCAGATTTCTGTGACCACCGCTAACTTGGTTACCCAGATTCCTATAAACTGTAAGTTAAGCTGCCTACTCTTTAGTTTTTTTCTCAAGTATTTAAAACATTTCTCCTCATTTTGAGCCAGCGGTTGATAAAATGTTAAAAGCATAGTCAGTTTCTGGTTTTGTAATAAAGTTTACAAACCACTCAGTTGATCTTCTTTTCTTTTGTGACTTATGGGATAGCAGCCCAGTGAACAAAAATACATCATGTAAGAATTCTCTACTTACATAAAACGAAACAAAAATAAGAACAAACAGAACATAAGAGATAAATAAGTTGTGAGGTTTCTAAATTGTGAAAACTTTATTCTTAGCTAAAGCAATCTTTCCTGCTTTTGCTCGGATGTTTTTCTTTCAAATTCCAGGTTGGTGATCTGGACATTAACTATATTAATATAGAGGGAGTCACTACAGACGCTTGCCCTGAGTCCATGGGTTCTACTCGGGGGCCTCAGAGCAGCAAGCTCATCCCTCCTACCCAAACCAGCCCTGGAGTGTCCCCACCAAAGGAGAACAAGGAAGTGACATCATACACTGAAGTGCAGCCGTCTTTCATCTCATCATCAAGCTCATATGCTTCCAATTTGAATCTTTCTTTTGGTCTTCATGGATTTGAAAAGGAACAGAGTCATCTAAAGAAAAGAAGGTAAGGTACCACATTCTGGAGGAAAAATGTAATAAATCCAGGAAACTTATAGCTAGACTTAGAAAATTTCTATTTTCTTATTTTTATCATCCCACCTTTTTATCTCTACCTCAAAATATTTCCCCATTTAGGTTCTTAAATTCCTTGGCTTGAAAGTAAGATCCATAAGAAAATTGACAAAAAATAAGAGAGGAAAACCACAATGAGATCCCACTTTACACTTACTAGACAGGAAGACGTTTTAAAGATTAACAATACCATATTTGGTGACATTGCCTATGATGACAACTCCTATGTACAGTTGATAGTGAAAATTGTATAATGACTTTGGAAAATAATTTGGCATTTTCTTGCAAAGTTGGATATGCATATATGTTATGACCCACCAGTTTTACTTCTGTGTGAAAGAAGATGTATACATGACTATTTATATGTGTAAATCTCTAAACATGATAACTTAATCTGACATGTTTGGAACCTCACCTGACTCATGTGCGACCTTTTCCTTGACACCAGCTCTGGGATGAGATCTTCAAACGTCTCCCTTGTCTCTTCATGTGTGCCTCTGCCCTCGTGAGCTTTCAGGGCCAACGGAGGGAAAGCCGAGCTGTAACTTTCACATGAGACCGCCCTAGGCGCCCCCCACCCCCGCCCCGTGCCGCCAAATAGCCCAGTAGCTCTGTTTTGTCCACGTTTTTAATATTTGAAGGGTAACTGTTTGGCTTTTGCAATAATAGCATGTACAAGACAGACATAGTAAGGACAGTGCTAACTCGAACCAGCTTTTGTTTCTTAGAGCATTTGAAATGGCTTCTGCTAGGTAGGAATGTTCATTTGGGGGAACATTAAATCTTGTTTAAAGATTTGGGCTATTTGGAGGGGAGGAACAAAACAACAAAAACCACTTAAATAAAAATTTTGCTAGGAATTGAATAGCTTCCCATTGCAGTGGATCCCAGTGGGAGGCATAGAAACCCCCAACGCTGTCTCACTTGACTCTTCAGTTGCTTGTTGGCTTTGTGCTTCAGTTCCAGCCTTGACGCCCTGGATGCCGACAGTGAGGGCGAAGGGCAATCGGAGCAGCCACACCATTGTTTCACTCCAGTGTCTCAGAGCTCCTCGAGAACTGGCCTTCCTAGTGGGGACGAGCTGGACTCCTTTGAGACCAACCCTGAAGCAGATTTTAATATCTCCAGGACTGAATCACTTTCTTTATCAAGTAACCCACAGCTGAAGGTATTCTTGGTGGTATTATTTTGGTTTATTGCAAGCATGGAAAATAAGTTGTCTAAATCTACCCATCTCTGAAAGACATATTACATTATAGTCACATGTGTAAACTTCTTTTTTTTTTCGGAGACCCACGAGCTTCCTGAGTCTGTCCTTTCAATCTCTCCCACGTTAAGTTGTAGGGTCCTTACAACTGATTCGTTTACAGTGGCTAATTCATTTTTGTTAATCACTGTCTGTACAAACAATCTTTCACATACTTGGAAAATTTTACCAATACATACTGGGATTTCTGCCATCATCCCGTAAGCAGTGGGAGGAAAACTGGGAGCATGAAGTGAGTTTAAGTGATCAAACTTGTTTTGCTCCCATAAAATTCTGCTTGGCCCAGGTGAAGAGGTAAGTAAGATGGTTAAGGCAGAGGTGGTGTTTGTTGAGCATTCCTGGCTGCAGGAACTCTTCTGGAATGCCATAGATTTTGTCAGTTTTTCCAGAGGAGACAGCTTTTCTGTCATTGGCATTTCGCATTTTGCTGTGATTTTTTAAAAGGTTAAACTCTTCCAGTTTTGAGGAGAAAGGCATTTCCTATTAGACCTATGTTTTCTTTTTGATTTCTATTGTCCAGTGGTTTTCTTTTTAGATTGAGTTTACTACTGTAAAACAATGTGTGCTGTGCCCCAAAGTCTCTTAACACCGACATACGGGGCTTATAGTAATACTTTGTTAGTAGTGTGCTCTACAATGTACAAAACATGCTTTGTGTATGTACAGAATGTATAATTATAACTCACTTAAGACAAAAGTAGTACTTCTAATTTTTGAGCAGTTGAGGTTCTGGAGAGATTGAATGTCTGGTTTAGGTTGCCCAAACCTGGTGATAGAGTCAGAACTCAACTGTAGGTCTTCTGATCCCAAATCCTGAACCCTCTTCTCTCAGCTCAGAGGTCTGTAGGGCTGTCATAATCTTCTGAGCTTAAAGGTCATGTGGTATTTCTGGGTAGTAAGAGATGGGTGTGGTTGTTAATGTAGATACTTCTTGGTTTTGCATTTTAAGTGGAACTGTGAACAGCTCATCATTACTTGGAATGACGAGTAATTCTTTTTGAAACAGTTCCATGTTGTTGACTTTCAAGAAGAATCTGTTGAATAAAATATGTCTCGCCTTGCCTTTGCAATGACTCTGTGTAGCTTTTTGCTAAAGAATTCTGGGTAATTTTCAAAGTCCCACTGTTAGGAAAAATGATTACCATGCATAACTCAAACGTAGAGGATGGCATTTGGGTAGAGCTATTAGGATTCTAGGACAACTAGCGTTGGCCTTTCTGACCTCCAGGCCCACTGGGTCTTTCCCAGTGAGATAGTCAGGGAGCCATGGCCCAAGACCCTTTGAAGAAGGGTCAGGCTTCTGTTTTCAGCTCTCCTCCAGGCTCTTTAATTAAACCATGAGCCTAGGGCAACCGAGTGCTTTCACTTCAGGAGAACAAAACAGAGCAGTGCTTGTGAAGCACAGTTGCTGATGGCTTGATTTTAGTAACAAACTTTGCACTGCTTCCGTTTACCTCTAACCGTAAGCGGTCTCCTAAAAATGGATTGCGGGGGGTACAATCCCAAGGCTACTCGGCCCCTATTAGATGGGATTTGGGGGCCATAAATGGCTTTAATGACATTCTATTGTGTATTCATTTAAATTTTCTGGAACACGTTTAAAAAGCATGTTTTGATTATCTTGCATTTTCCAGTATGTTGCCGATATGATAACAGAAGTAATTGGTAGTTGGGAAACAGAAACAAAATAGCAGGTCATTTAAAAGGAATAAAATTAAACATATATAAATCAGTGATAATTCAAACATCATCCCAGGAAGTGCTGGATATAAGACCTGTTAAAAGATGAGCACAGACTAGAAGGATTTCTATAATGACCAGATGCATTTTTTTCCTAGAGGCTGCAGCTAACATTACAAACTTAAATAGCTGTTAGGAAGTTTAAAAAACTTACAATTTTAAGTGGCTATTCCTCTGCCTTCTAATCATTGTTATGTATCAAGATCTCAGTTAATATAATTTTGCTTAAATGCTACAGTATAAAATAACAGAAATAAATGACAACTCAGATAAAGAAAAAAGTTAAATTTATTGAATATGAAGAGAAAAAAATGTGACTTAATTTTTCAATTTTATCCAACTTGGTTGGAATGTCATAATTGTATTCTAAAGTATATATAGGAACTATTCCCAAAAGCTCAAGTTTACTAAAGCATTAAAAAGACAGTAAAATTTTTTAAGTTCTGATAAGCAAACAGAAACAGATTATTAATAAGATCATATCAGGAATCATAGAGAAATAAAAGGAAGAAAAATATACCAAAATACATTTTAAAAGATTACATCAGAAATGTTTAGGTTGAGTCTTTTTTCAAAGCTCCTGACTCAGTAACATGCACTGTTAACACATGCTTTCAAGTCTTCTATAGAATTTTTTAAAACTTTGTTATGATTTCTTTTAGGAATCATTGCTTTCTGGAGTTCGCTCACGTTCTTATTCCTGCTCATCACCCAAAATTTCTTTAGGAAAAGCTCGACTGATGCGTGATTTTACAGTGTGCAGTTCAGTTGAAGGTAAGCATTATTTATCACTTGGCTGTGAAAACATTCTTCTCCCAGAGCAGATTTTCAGTTAGTGAAAGTGCATAAAGTATATAAGAGCAGCCGGCAAGAATTTTCATTTAACAATTGATGTTTCCAATCTCAGCAAAATCCTTTTCTCATTGGGTATAAGACAAGGTATAAATTTGATTTTGATGAAATTATAAAATTTACACACCTCTGTTGCCTTGTTCTTTGAATAAAATGTTTTCCTCAAGGACAGTATAAACCAGAATTTATTCTAGGTTCATAATTGTGAAGGCTTTAGGGAATTTTATTTAAGTAAATTATAAAAGTTACTTTTGTCCTACATATAAATTGCTGAAATGACCCAACCCATCAGAGGCAAAGCATTGCAAAATGGATTTTTTTCATTTCTTTATTTAGCCAGGGACTTTAGAAAGTTGAAATAACAGAACATACTTGAAACACAAGTAAATATATCCCAATGTTTTTTGTAGCCGATGTAAGCAGTCAGAAATACAACTTTCATACAATGAAGTGTAAATTGAAATACAGTTTACCTACAGAACGGCATGCACATTATAATCAAATAGCTTGATGAATTTTCAAAAGTGAGTTCAAATCATTAAATGGAACAATTATGGGCAACTCGAAGCTGCCCTTGTAGCCCCTTTCAGCCACTACTCGCTTTTCAACTTTATTTTGAAATGTAAATTATTTGATGCTTTCTGCATATATTTACATTTAAAGGTATGTTTGAAAGTATTAATGCCAATCTATAATATATAGCAAAATAGAGGGGAGGGTATGGCTCAGTGGTAGAGCACATGCTTAGCATGCACGAGGTCCTGGGTTCAATCCCCAGTACCTCCATTAAAAAAAAAATAATAAAATAAACAGACCTAATTATAATACATAGTGTAATAAATCTTTTATCAGTGTATTAGATAATGCCTTTTTTTTGGCCTATTATCCTTAAGAGTCTTAGAAGACTCAGAAAACAAAGGTTGTGCTTAAGTATTCTCAGTTTCCCAATGTAGAATATTTAAAATAGGATTTATTTTACTCCTTCCTTTTTCTTTCCTTCTTTTTTCTTGTTCTTCCTTTATTACATTGTCATTATTTTGTACTTTGACACTATGTTGAACAATATTGAAAGCATAAACTTTGTGCTTGGAACTGCCATCCTGAAACATTGACTTATGTATGGGAGTTGCTCGAGAAATATTTGTTGAGCGAATATAGCAGACAAGGTATGTAAAATACAAAACAAATCCCACTAGGTATTTTTTTCCTTTTTCCTTCTGAGTCTTTTTGGAAGAAGAGAAAACAAGACCAATAATAAACATCAGTTTTGATTTTGGGAATGGGAAGATGGAGAAAAGGATGAAATTAAAAAGGGAACAATTACTTTGAGGAGACAGGAATGGAAGATGGATTGAATTTGCCCTGATTTTTTTTTTTTCAACGCCATGAGTCTTTCTAGGATCTCAGGTCTCCCCAATCTTAGTTTAGGCTGGGATTCCTTTTTTTATTTTTTAATTTTTTAACATTTTTATTGATTTATAATCATTTTAC